CAGAGATGCCTGTGGTCTGAATGTCAACAAACACTAGTTCTCTCACCCCAAGCTTGGCTACATCTCAGCTCCTCCGGACATCGCCCATTTCTGTGATTGCCTTTTCTAACCTTACCCAGCTCAACTCAAAACACTGGGGTCAAGTTTGAACCCGCCTTCCCCCCACCCCCTTTCAATCAAATCAGTGGCGGTGTCCCTTCTTGCATGTCTTTTCTGTGGTTTCGCTGCAGCGGGTCTGACACCCCGTAACTCTGCCGAGTTGAGTACAATCCACCTCACCAACACAGAGTTGCCACTAGCATGTCCTCAGGGACAAAGATCGAGGGTGGGGGGAGGAATGGGAAAGAAGCACAGGAGGAAGTGGGGTACGTGAGTTCACATCGCAATCAACGATAAGAGACAAAATGTGCATGATTCTTGAATGGAAAACAAATCTACTCCTAAGAACTTTAACTAATTCACAATAAAACATTTTTTTTTTCTTTAAGTTACTCTTTATTTTTCCTGCTCAGTCACCCCTAAATGACTTGTCACCCTCTCTAGAGAAGCCCAACTTGCACTCAGGGCTGGGGAACCTTTTTTTTTTTTTTTTTTTGCCAAGAGCCATTTGGAGCTTGATAGCATCATGTGCAGGCCGTCAGGGTCCAAGGCTTCATGGTCTCACCCCAAGTGGATGGCTGGAGCTGCTTCTCTTTGGTGAGGTGTGTGATGCTGCTAGCTGGTATTGTGTGGGGTCCTGAACAATGTAGCTAGGGGCTCTCTAACCTACCCTTGACCTCTGTAGGGTACAGCCCAACCCCCAAAATACCATATTAAAAAAATAAACCCCCCTTACTCTACATCCCTAGCATGTGTTCTTCCCCACCCTGCCCTTTCTCACCCTGTGTCTTCCTCAGGAAACCTGAGAGTATCTCTCCTCTGAAGGAAAGCTGCACCTGCGGAGGCTGACCTCGGATTCTGGAGACGGATCACACGTTGGGATCCACCTCTAGCTACGCATCCTGGGGCCACGTGCTCCACCTCTTGGAGCCTCAGGTTGGTCCATGATTTTTTTTTTAATCTGTAAGATAGAAACAATATCTTATTTCATAAACTAGAATCCAACCAATTTGATCCTAATTTATAGGGAGCCTCTGCGGGTCACAGCAGGGCTGCGTTCCATGGGGTCTTCAATGGGTGACTTCTCTGAAACAGACCCCTTTTGAAGAGCCCCCGAGGGGACTGGAACTTTTCAGTGAGTGGCCAAGTGCTGACGTGTCTGCATTACCAAAGACCACCCATCTCATGAGCTTAGTGTGGTGCTC